TTATAAACAAATACACACATACCTACAGTTTTACTTTACATATTTGGTAATAAAATTTTTGATTTTGGTTGTTTTGAGAAGTATGTTTTTCTAAATCATAATAATCTGATTTATTAATATTTCTTATTTTTTAAATTATTATTACGCTATTTTTATTAATGAAACATACATAAATAATACTCAAATAATTGCCATTTTGTAGTTAAAAAGCAAAACTTTAAATTTTCCTCAATTAACAGAGGAATGTATCAAAAAGAATTCCATTGGAATAACAACTACGGCATTGAAATCATTCTTAAAGGAACCTTCGTCTGACCTGGGCTCGTATTGCAGTATACGTGATCGAAACTTACTAGATTTCAAGTTCGAATGCCATCATTTCAAAAAGGAATTAATGTATTAATTGAAACCTCAATATACAAGTACTTTTAAATAAAACCAAGTACCAACCAAGTACTTTTAAATAAACCCCCTTAAGTCAAATAATTATTGGCGAAAAATTACAACAAAAAGTTTAATAATTCAATATCCTAATTGAGACTTAAACTTAAATAAGTTGAATTTTATTTTTTTCTTATTAAAAACGCTTAATTTATTTATAAATTTTACCAAACACTACATTCACACCTACTACTATTTATACATTAAAAAAAAAATAAATACAATACACAAAAAATACATAATCTTTCTTATTATTCGTTTATTTTTATAAAATTAATTTAAAATTGGAATTTTTGTTATTGTATATTTTTATTTGCAAGAAAAGGAATTTTAATCCCTTTGTAATCTAGTATAAACTTAAGTATATAATATAATTTTGTTACGATTAATTTGTGGGTTATTAATTTTTAATTGCTTAATTATACTAATTTTTATTAGGTTCAGAGAAAGGTAGACAATGAGAAAGTTACAATTTTTCATATAGGAAGAACAATTTCATAAGTTGTAGGTTTTGACAAGAAAAACTTTTGGTAAAGAAATAGTGACAATTAGGGATTTGTTGTCAAATATTGAAATTTGTTTTAAAATAAGTAGTATTATACCTGTAGGTACCCTTCTCTTGTAATCTTTAAATTGTTATTCAAAAACAAATGTTCAAAGCAATTTAACAGGTAAGTATATATAACCTTATATAAGATAATACATAGTACTTTCTATATTTTAAACTTTTATTATATGTTTTATTTGTCTTTAAACCTTTAATTTAATCAATTTATTTTGCACCTAAACTAAGCTGCCACAATATCCCCCACATAATAAAAAAGAAAAACAAAACTATTGACATTTGTAATGAAAAACACTAAACAATTGACGACTTAATTTGTGTATGTAAAGGTTTTCAAGTGCAAAATTGCTAAAAGGCTAAAATAATGTAATTCAAGCATTAATATTAAATGCATTAAATTGTATTATTCAATCAATTGACGTATTCATTGATTTAAATTATACAATTCAAAGATTTTATGACACAGCCCACACAAACAAAATTACAATATGTTAAAAAGAAAATGGATTAAAAGTTATTTAACAATTTAAATCTTAAATGTTTTTAGTTGCAAATTGAAAACAAATTTTGATGAAAAATACTTAAAACTTAATAGTAAAGGACTACTATAGTTTTAGGTTAAATTTCAATATTTTATATAATAATATACAATAAATAAATTAAAATATAAAACCGAAGACTTGATAAATATTTAATAAAAAAAAAAGTATTAAAAATTAGCACTTACAAATATTTTATACACCCAAAAATATAATAAAATAGTATCTATAGAGTTTGTATGTAAGTTTTTTTTTATATAAACACATAAATATATTTATGTAAGTAGCTTTAAGTTAATAATAATACTCGTAAATAAAATGGAAGCAAGAAATGTCAATAAAATTACCGTAAAAAAAAATTTGATTAAAAAAACATTCTTTTTTATTGGTATTAAATTTTGATAATTAAATTGCAAAAATAATAAGTATAGTTTTATTAGTTAGTTTTATTATAGTTTTATTTAATACTTTTTAATATTTAATATTAATATTTAATTCATTTTAAATAAAATTTTACATTTTAAATGTCTATAAAAGTTCTAAAGTATGTATGTAGATAAATTGCATAATATCAATTACCGTTGATCTAAATGTATGACAATGGTACGAAATTAGACACTTAAATTTAAATCAGGCTTTTATAAAATCCCTGATTATTGTATATATTACATCCACACTAGGGATGCCAATCCCGAAATCCCGATCCCGAAAATCCCGGGATTTTTCGGGATTGGCAAATCCCGAATCCCGGGATTTGGAAAATAAATCCCGGGATTTTTTCGGGATTAGGATTTGTTTCAAAAAACTGTTTTTATTTTCTTTTTTTGAGCCATAATTTTCATTAATTTGAAAATTACGATCTTATTTTATTTTTGACTCATGCAAAACAAAATTCCGCAGAGCTAATTTTATACATATTTGAACCTTTTATTTTTTAAAGTGGTATGAGTCCATACACATAGCACATATAAATTTATTTATTCACTTCGTTTTTATACCTTACACCACTTTAGTGGGGAGGGTATATTGGGTTTGTGCTGATGTTTGTTACACACAATAATATTGGTCCTATACCTTAAAGTATACCAATCGGCTCAGAATCATTTTCTGAGTCGATTTAGCTATGTCCGTCCGTCTGTCCGTCCGTCCGTGTAAACCTTGTAATCAAAGTACATCAATTTTGAAGATAATTCAATGAAATTTTGCATGATCTTCTATTGTACTTGAGACGGATCCTATGGAAAATAGATAACATCGGTCCAATATTTGACCTAGCCCCCATACAACTGAACCCCCCAAATAGGGTTTTTGAGTTCATAATTATGTTCAATATACTCGTAACTCGACAAAAAGCTGCAAAACCAAGTTCTATACTAGCCTTCATGACCCTGATGTATTTTTTGATGATGCGGCCTCATTTGACCCTAGCCCTATGCAAAGGCCCCTTCGAAATATGACTTAAATGTACACAATTTTATTCAACAAAAAATAGCTAAATTATATCTGAGGCAAGGTACAATTCAACTTAGATGCTTTATTATGAACAATAAATCACATTTTATTTTTATAACTGGTGTAGGGTATTATATGGTAGGCTTCGCCCAACTATAACTTTTTACTTGTTAGCACATTGCAATGTTGGTCGTAGACCGACCCAAAAAGTATACACATTCTGTATCTGTAAGCTGAAAACACGAGTTAGAAGACTCATTCTATTTGGGCTGCAAATTTGGACCAAAATTGACACAAAAAAACCTAATTGGACCTCCTCTGAAAATCACATTGATGCTGATATTAATATCAATACATTACAATATTTTGATGGTGGGTATTTAATTTCGGCACAGTCGAATACAAACTTTATTTTTCAATACTAGAGGATTTTACATTTCTAACTTTCTACAAATCTGAATGATACCGGTAAAGGTAAATTACCTTGTTCTGAATGCACCTAAAATTTTAAATTAATACTACGAATATAATAATGTGTTCCAAAACTAATATGTATTTTGAGTAAAATTCCAAATATTTTTCAAAGAATAGGTTCTAAATTGATGTTCGAATAATTGAATTGGTATCTGTTATAATTATTAGTTCACATGGAACAGTATGAGGTTTTAAAAAGTGCTTATGTCTAATTTCGGAACTTGATATTTATTTTTATTTAGGAAGTAAGTATGTATTTAAAAAGTTTCAGAAATTATGCAATTCTGAAAGTTTTTATTTAAAAATTGGAATTAATTGGATTGTTTTAATTTAAATATATCTTCTGTCTGTTAAATTTCCACAAAATTAAACAATTTTCTTTACAAATATGATGATTTAAAGATTTTCATATATAAAATAATTAAATTCATGTAATCCCGAAATCCCGTAAAATCCCGAAATACCGAAAAATCCCGGGATCCCGAAAAATCCCGGGATCCCGAAATATCCCGAGATCCCGGGATTGCAATTTGCAAAATCCCGAATCCCGGGATTTGTAAAAGCCAGTCCCGTTTGGCATCCCTAATCCACACTAGTCTAGAAATGTCGGGCATCTTTAAATATGACATTTTTTGCCGAATTCCCCTTAAATGCATTAAAAAACGACTAGATAACATATTCTATGTACTCTCAGTCAAGATACAAGGTACAACGAGGCAACTATCATTACCAGGATGATATGGCCAATACTGGATAGCTATGTCGTCCCCATTTCAATAATCTAGTCATATAACGACTTGTGTAGAAGCAGGCCGAAGAAGAGGTAGAATCTATGGAAAAATCTCTTTGTCTTTGTTCGGTATTAGGTTAGGTTGATAGGAGGATGTATACTACATCAAATCCGAAGAAATACACCTAGGCCACTATCGGGCCTGTTGTGCGCTCCAATTGTTCGGTATTAGAAGATATTCGTTTTGAATTTGAATAAAAAGGATTGCCATTCGAATAAAAATTATTCGATTAATCGAGGAAAATAAAAACTACTCGCCTGAAAACATTCTTGTAGCATATGATCCGTTTAGTAGTCATGTGTAATGCAGTCATGGACCATGTTCATTGTTTTTTAAAACTACATGGTCCATAGCCTGCATTACATAGGACCACATTCTTACATAATTTTAGCAAAGGAGTAGTTTTGATGAGTGGTTTAAGTAGGCTTCACCTAGAACATCACAACGTTAAATGGAACATGTTATATATTTAGATTACTTTTGGACCAGTTCTTTGTGGAGTATTCTTTACACGAGTGTGCGGGGTGGTCTCAATTTTTATAGGGAATCAAAACGTAGAAACATTAATAAATTGGTTAATAAGTTTCGACACAATCAAAAATAAGAGTTTTACTTGTTCTTTTTTTTTAATAAAACCACTATTACAACTGTTTTCTGTCGTTTAATCGTTTTTTATTACTTTAAAGTCAAACATTATCATTTTATTAGGCCCTAATAATTTGAAATGTATATTTTTTATTTACTGTAACAATACATATTCGTACATACATATGTTCATTATATGATAACAATTTATTCGACTTTATACAAACAAATACTTACTAAACTATTTATAATATTTATATGATTATTTCTAATTCGAATTAATAATAATTCAATAACGCTCGCTTTCATTCATAGATGAAAATCAACATGTTTTTTTTTTTGTTTAATCTAATATTATTTCTTTAAAATACTCTTGAACTTATCATCTTCAACAAAGAATTGTGCATTGTCTTCGACAATACGTTTCCACTTTAATGATAATTCGGCATATGATGGTCCCGTTCCACCCAAATCTTTGGGTAAATTATCACATTTCACACTACAGCCTTTTTTCTGCACCACCACGCGAGATCTCATCTTGGGTGTCATAAATAGACGGAATGTATTCAATACCAAATTAACATGTACTGGTGTATTAATGAATTCCAATAGTTTGGGTTGGCAGGGATACGCTTGCCAACTATCTACGGAACGTTTTATTAATTTTGGATTCAACTGCAAAGCATGACCCAATTGAACGCCCTTCATATCGAATATGGCCACAATGCCACGGCTACAATTTTCCGGTTCCATTTTTAGCAATATGTCCAATATCATTTTACTGACTTTAAAAACATTATTTTGTAGATGTAGTTTGGGATCGTGAACGGCTGTTCGCACGATTATAACTTTTCTTTGACTAGCATCAACACCGTCTATGGGTAGAAATACGCCTAATTCAAGTAGTTCTTGGATTTCTTTTAAAAATGGATCACGATTTGAAAACCATTCGGTACGTTCAGCACGCATTTGATAGAAACTGTAAATATAGTAAGTATTTGTGTTAGTTATTGATATTTGAAAAGTATTTATTTAAATCGGAAGCATTCTATCAATCATTATTAGGTGAATATAATTGTTTATACATATTAACGTCAGGATGATCTATTTACAAAATAAGCAATTTGTTATTAATCTATATTATAATTAATTTAAATTATAATCTCTGTAGTTTATTAAAGACCAAAATTAGTAAATTACTATTTCATTATGTGAATTTAATAGAAGTCCACTTTTTAGTTATTTTTTTAATGTACTATATGCAATATAGAGTATCATTTGAACTGGACTATCACTTGTATGTCACTTGTATTTTTAGCCTGTACTTTAATAAAGACTCTAAATCTATAAAGGTTTGTGGGTCTAAGACGAATATTTGATGTTGGCTATAAAAGGACCTTTTTAAAACGACCCAGATAACGAACGGCCATCGTTAGACTCAAAATATATCGGGAATCATCATCAAACAAAACACAAGTAAGAAAGTATAGTCGGGCGTGGTCGACCATATGATACCCTACACCAGTTATGAATATTAAATGTGATTTATTTTTCATAATAAAGCATTTATCTTCAATATTCCCTTGTTCCGATACATTTAAGCAATTTATGGATGAAAAACTAATTTTCTGAAAGAGGCTTTATATGGGGACTAAATGCAAATATGGACCAAGCCAAGCAGGGTCATCAAGACTTCTATAAAACTTAGTTGTGCCGTTTTTTATCGATATATCTGTATATTTAACATAATTATGAGCTCAGAAGCCCTTTTCGGGGAGTTCTGTTCTATGGGGGCTAGGTGAAATAATGGACCGATTTTAACCATTTTCAATAGGCTTCGTCCTTGGGTCAAATAAAACGTGCGTGCCAAATTTCATACAATTATCTTGAAAATTGCGGACGGACGGACATAGCTTAATCGACTCAGAAAACGATTCTATGCCGATTGGTATACTTTAAGGTATGTCTAGGACGAATATTTTTGTATGTTACAAACATCAGCACAAATCCAATATACCCTCCCCACTAAAGTGGTGTAGGGTATAATAATATTTTATGATGAAGATTATTGAAGCCAACAAAAATTAGACATGTATATTTTTTAAAACGGTTCTGCTCACGAATGGTACACGATAAACCCAAAGTATTTTGAATAACATTATATAATCGCTCTAATTTACATATAGTAATTACTTCTTAAATAATTGGAAAAATGTTAATGAATGATTTTGTCCAGATATACGGATATAGTAAGTTAGTTTAAGATTTTTACAGACATCTAGACTATACATAGATATATAATTTTTCGGATCTATGGGTAATATTTCGACGTGTAACAAGAATAATAACAAAATAAATATACCACCTAACGTTTTGTTCGTAGGTTTAAAAAACAATAGACTTGTGCAATATTCGTAGTGATTAATATTTTATAATCAGTTCATATTTTGTACACAAGAATATAATGCATATTTCGAATTTTTAGGGTATATTTTTCTTTTTTGTACAAAATTTAATCTCAGTTTCAAGAAATCAATATTTAAATTTTAAGAAAATATTTTTAATTTTTTACTGCATATTTAATGCGCATAAAACCATTTTTAGGGTATTTCTTAGATTTCCCTGATTTTAATATAAAATATGTATGTACCTACAGATAGATTAAGAATTTATTTAAAATTTAAATTTAACCTTTGTGTCGTCAGTAATAATTTAGCAAATCGTTATTATTTATTCGATATGAATAATATGCACAAAGAAAATGTGATGACAAATATGAAATTAGAGAACCCTAGATAAACCAAAACGATCTAAGTCACGTTAATATAAATTGTATATATGTATACATACTTATGGTTTAAAAATAAACAACAACAACTGCCGGCACATGTACAGGTATTATTATAAATATTTCTAAACAAAACTATATTAATACTCTACACATGCACTTAATGATTGATTGAATGACAAACAAAATAAGATCTAACTTACCATTTTAACTTCCTTTTTGTACGATCGACATCAAACTTACAGCTGCGCAAGAAAAACGATAAATTTTCGAAATCAGTACATGCGTTTATATTCGGATTATCGGTCAACCATTGATAAAGCATTTGAACTTTCTGATGAACTTTATCGGGATCATTGTTGCTGTTCGTATATTCGAACGGCGAAATTTTATTTGAGTTTTGCAATAGCATTTTTACAAATATATGTTCTCTTTCAAATACTTTTAATTTATAAACAAATACAGTTTTTGATCACTCTATAAAGTAATTAAGTTTTTAAATCACTATGCGTTTGATTTCTAATTTATTTATTAATAATTTTTTATTAATAACAAGATATATTAATTAATTTCCACTTTAATTTCGTTTATTTATTTTTTTTTTGCATACTCGTTTTGTTATGGAAAAGTTTAATTAACTGCAGAATAAAAATCAACTGAGAACGAAAATGCTAAACAATGATTGAGTGAGAACCTCCGCGAGCGAGTTGCTTTCGATTAATAAACATTTGTTGGTTGTTGAAAAGTATATATAAAAATATAGTGGTTATACTTTTAAAATAAATATATTATGTATGAGGAGGCTAAGTAATTGTATTGTTTTCAAGATACTTGTGCATTCTCTTAGACAGGCCATAAGAGAATGTAGTCATTTGGTTATCAGTTGTAGGCTAGTAAGCGGTATTTAATAGTCCATATATCTATACTTGAGCAAAATTACCCGTGTATGTATATGTATCTTTAGTGGTAAATTGATCATTTGAAAATGCACTTTTAATATTTAAAATTTATTTTTAACCTTTAAACTTAAACTTGATGCTTTTATCAATTAATTTTATATTTTGTATAATTTTAGAAATATGGGAAAATATTTATTTGCATCTTCTAGCAAAATTTTTTTGATATCTTTATAAGTTGCTTTTGCTTTAACCTTTCTTAGGGCCAATCTTTAGGTGAAAGATTAGCGATTAAATTAAAATTAATCCTCGAAAGATGTTTTTGAGTACTCAATTAGTTAATTTTGTTTGCAAGTTTAAGCGCCCAATGGAGGTGGTTTAATCTTAAGCACGAAATGCAAAAGTGTAAACAGATGATGCAAAAAAAAAATTAATAAAATGTTTATAAATATAAACATTAAAATCAGTTCAGTTTGCAAGTTTAAGCGTCCAATGGAGGTGGTTTAATCTTAAGCACGAAATGCTAAAGTGTAAACAGCTGATGCAAAAAAAAAATTAATAAAATTTTTATAAATATAAACATTAAAATGTTCTATTTACTGATTAGTATAAATTATGGACACTTCAAAATACATTTTTTTGTTTTTAATTAAAGTTTTCATTAATTTTCATATTAAATTTACAATTGTCTTCTTCTTTTTTTATAAAATATGCATTGTTTTGATAACAAACAGTGAAGTTTTCTGTTGTTTTGTATGGCAACACTGCGAAGTTTAATCTTGTACTCAAAAACATCAAAGGGGATTTACATAAGATTAAATTTATTTTTAGATTAACTAATCTGATTATTAATTGGCATTTGATTACCATCTCAAAAACCCGCTCTTAGTCGTTATTCTTCAGCGTTTTGTGCCCTTACGAGATAAACAAAATTTCTGGACATTTCGCATCACCAGGGAAACCAAAATATGCAAATGCATGTTATTTATGGAACTAACATGGTATGGACTCATGGTCATAAAATTTACAGGTTACAGAGCAATTTAAGAATTTGGGCATCAATTTTTTAGCGCATATTTTAGCATATGAGCATAATTTTGCATGATTTGATTTAAATAGCATATTTAAGGCATATATCGTGTTTTTCAGAGCATATTTTTCGTTTTTACTACCTATTTAATGCAGTTCCTCCTCATAAAATGTTTCAAACATTTTTGTTTCGTATTAACAAAAATAATTCTTTCAAATCTCAGCTTAATAAAAAATGTCTACTATAATTACGATACGAAAGTGTCGATTAAAACGTTATGGTTAGCATGCAGTTTGTTTTGTTTTTATTCTGTTTGCATGCAAAAAATAACCAAATCTATACTTTAGCATTGTTTTGTTCAATATTAATCACGCAAATTGTTGGTATAACCAAAAATTGGAGGTTTTGAACTGAGCGCCACAAAATATGTATGCGCAAATATACAAAAATATGTACATATTCGTATGTATTAGTTTGGTTAATTTATTGCAACAGATTTTAGATAATAAGAATTTATTTTAAAAATATTTTCTACAACACTGTATCTCTTAACAAGTTGGAAAATAATGTTTATAATTTGAGTTTATAGTACATTATGCAAATTAAATAATTATTATTTATTACTAACAACTATGTATGAATGTATATTTTGTTTATTAAATACAAAAAAGTAAGTAGATTAAGTAGCTACTCAATTAAATATTTTCTTGAATCTATATTTTGTGGATAAATGAGTACTTTACAATCTCTTTATCTTATTTATTTTCTCTACCATTTCAAAAACATGCCAACACGCGTCGTGCGCGGCAACGCGTTATACGTACAGCAAAACTTAAAATAAAGTCCTTGCATACACATGTAAGTCGTTGTAAGAGTACTTAAAAGTAATGCTGATAATATGTTGTTGTCATAAGCAAGTAAGTGGTTGTGTAACTACAAGTCATTACCGAGTTTTTACTGGTTACATACTTATGTATGTAGATATGCATTCAAAATCAATCAAGCATTAGTGGGTAAACTGTCAAATAAAGGGGGTACATTAAGTGCTACGGTTAAGTAATTAATTGCACCCCTTGCTATAAATATCCAGAAGCCTTTGAATTTTGTTTTCATTTTAAATCGAAAATGCTTTAATAGTTATTTTCGTAGCTTTTACTTGCAGATTTATTTTGCAGTTTTTGTAATGACAATTAATCAATATTGTACCTTGATATTGACAATGGTATTTAAATTATTTCGATTTGTTTAACATGTAAACGAAAAGTGAACAAACATTGAGAATAAAATATCGCCGCAAAAACAAATACATATCTCCATTTACTACAAGACTTTCATAATCCAAAAAAAGTATTTTCGAGAAAAATTTCTTTGAATTTTTAACTATTATTTTAAATTACTTTTAAACAAATCACGGAAACTGGAAAACCATTGGTTCATCTAAATTAAAAATTAAAATTTCTATTTATCATTTTAGTTTTTACGTTTACAATAAAAAAATAGGTCTTATACCGAAATAATAGACATATTTGAAAAAAATTTAGTATGACCCATGTAACTCTCAGCTGTTTTTTTATTTTTAACTAAATCGCCGTATCGAAACGGTTCTTAAACTTTTTTAAAATTAATTAAAAAAATATACTAAAATTATATCGAATGCTAACTAATTTTATTTTGCTGTTTAATCTCTACCTCTAAATATGATTAAATAATTGGAAATGATAAAGTAGGGTTCTATAGTTGAAACGAAAAGTCGACTTTTCGACTTTTTGCATTTAGTTAAAAGTCGACTTTTCGACCTTTCGACTTTTTCCATTTTATGAAAAGTCGATTTTTCGACTTTTCGACCTTTTTCATTTATTTAAAAGTCGACTTTTAGACTTTTCGACTTTTAGTATTTTATAAATGGTCGACTTTTCGACTTTTTCCGACTTTTCGACTTTTTTCGACTTTTCGACTTTTTTGACTTTTTCCGACTTTTCGACTTTTTCCGACTTTTCGACTTTTTGATTTTTTACGACTTTTTGACTATTTTCGATTTATTTCGACTTTTTTTCGACTATTTTCGACTATTTTTTTTACTTTTTTCGAGTTTTTCCGACTATTTTAGAGTTTTTGACCTCTTTTCCACTTTTTTAAAATTTTCGACTCTTTTTGACTTTTCGACTTTTTCCGACTTTTTCCGACTTTTCGACTTTTTTCAACTTATGGACTTTTTTCGACTTTTCAACTTTTTTCGACTTTCCGATTTTTTGACTTTTCGACTTTTATTTACAAAGTCGACTTTTCGACTTTTTTCATAGACGATAGTCGAGTTATCGACTTTTTTGGAACAAAATAGTCGACTTCGACTTTTCGACTTTTTTCGACAAAAAGTCGATTGTTCGATTATTCGAAAGTCGATTTATAGAACCCTATGATAAAGTCAAAATAATTCGGCCTAAATAAGTTATAACGGATTTAAATTTAACGTAATTTTTTACACTACTATTTGAATACAACTATGCTCATTTAAGTAGCAACTAAAAACAACACCGCTTTTATCCGCACGTGTTTATGTTTACATTTTTTTGTTACATTTACCAATGAGGTTGTTAGGATTTGGATAATTTATCATTTATTTTAATAGAATAACGAGCATTTCTATTAAATACATAAATAAACATAATCTAATTCCACAATGGAACATGTCGATACTACACTACCCATAAATTCTAATATAAAGTGTCATGTTTGTGGTGAAAATCAATTTGAAGAACGTGAAGGTTTTTACTATTGCCAGGAATGCGGTACAAAACAGGAACAAGTGCGTCTAGTCGAAGTTAACCAGGATGATGAATTTAACAACGAGAAATTAAAGACAAAGAAACTTAAGATTCAAGTGGCGAAAGCAGAAAAACGTAAGTTTGTTCAAGATATTGAATAAAAAATAAAATTTTAGTAGAGTATTTTTATTGAATATTTATAGCACAATTAACTTCCTGGGAATGCTATAATTATATATTGCGTGGTTTTGTGGAAGAACTGCTCTCCATTGGCGCTAAAGAGGAACTTAAACTAATGACACTGCAAGTATGGGCAGCATATTTAAGACGCATGGAAGTGGCATTTTTCAATCGTAAACAAGCGGATTTACCCAAATTGGGTATAAAATATCTGCAAAAGTAAGTTTAAATAAAAATAGGAGATATATACAATAGTTTGACTTGTACTTACTGAAGTACTTACATTTCAATGACAACTAGGTACATACCGTCTGTATTACTTTTAAATACTCTTATAATGACTTACATTAAATTAGCACTTTTATTTGGACACTTTTTTTGATAGCGCTCTAGCAACTATTTTTTAGTGCTCGCTTTCAAATAACTACTTATATAATTACTTATAAATAAGGAGTTAATTATTTATAAGTACTTATATAAGTAGTTATTTGTTATTGAGCGTGGTAAGTACTTGCCTCCAATATTATCATCGTGTTAAAATAATGAGTTAAAACACAATAACGATATTTCTTTATTAATCTACCTCTTTTTTTCAACACATTTATCTTATTATAACAAACAGTTTTTTGACATATTTTTTTCTAATCTTATAATATGTCCACTTTCATATTGCAGTGATGCGGAAACAATTTACAATCACTCAAAGGCAGCTCGTAAAAAACGTCAACGTAGACGTAGTGAAGGTACTAGTTGTACTAGTGGCGATGAATCCAGAAGTACCGCCAAAGATTGGCGTAAAAGCAAAGTAAGTAAGAACGGTTTATAAGTTTAATAATTTAATGTAATAACCTCATAGAATATATATTGTCCCTTCAATTATTTTCGGGGTCAAACACTCGTTTAATTAAAACAGACATTCTTTAAAGAAGATTCATATTTTAAAAATTGGTTCATAAACGTAGATATTGAGTCCGAAAAAAACATAACTTTTCCTGAATTTTTAATATGTTACGGTAATATGTATATAGACAATACCTTCCTACATATGTATGTATATCAAAAGAAAGATATTCAAAAGACCTTCGAACAAATACAAAATTTAAAGTTCTCCAAAATTTCCAATTATGTTATTGTTTAGATTTTATCGAGTTTCAAAATTCATATTTTTTGAGATTAAATTAACCATGATATAATTTCTAAACTATCTATTAGATTTTAAACGTTTTAGTAACTAATTAAAGTCTATATCTTGTAGTTTAAGAATATTTTTTTCTTTTAATATTATAGTTTTAAAATAGGGATAATGATTTGGAAAATGTTCTTTGGTCAAAGATATCTTCAATTTTATTTATTCCTTCACCAAAAATAGCTTATAGTGCACTCAACAAAATATAAAAAATTCAAAAAGGGAGAATGAGGGGATCTCAAGTAAATCAACTTTTAGTAAAATAATTCACATCATTTCCATAACAATTACAATTTTAAATATATAAAGAAAAGTTCTAAAAATCCTTTAGAAGAAGTGTCTATTTTCACTACTATCAAATAATTATAACAAATTGAATTAAATACGTTTTTTAACTTTTATTAAACAATTTTAAATTCTATTTTTATTTTCTATATATTTTTTATACACTTTCAAATTCATAAACAGATTTGTAAACAACTTTAAGAGAAATAGAATTGATCGGGGAATAATAGAGGTAACAATAAGAAAAGTGTTCTAGATTGTGGTTCTTGACCAGCATTGCCATCAACTTCCTCATTGTCATATGCGAAAGGAGCTAAATAAAAATCATACAATTAATAACAACACATTAGGGATTTCTTCACTATTTACCTTCATCTTCTTCTTGGCTATCTTCAAATAGTAAAACTTCATTTGATCGATCAGCACCATTTTCTACATCCGAATTTCCCGGTAAAGCAGCAGCATTGGTATACATAACAATGCAACATAGTGCCAAGAATAAAGCAAAAATTAAAGAACGCATATTGCTTTTTCAAAAACAAAAATTAAATTATCGAATTGTATTAAACAATTTGTTTTTATGACTGAATGATTTTCTTGAAATTGTAAAGCTATTTTATAGTAAAACTTGTAATAGCTGCTGAATAGCTACTAATTTGCTTATCTATATGTCATTAACAGTTTGTACTGTTAAAGATAATATTCATGTCAATATGTTCATTAATCATAATATGTAGTTGTTTTGAACACATTTAAAAACAAGATTTTGTTGCATTTTTCCAAGGTTACAATTTTTTAAATTTTAATATGTACTTAGTCATAGGTATAGGTATAAGGACCTACCATTAACTTTTACATAAATATATAGAAACTTAGTATAAATTTTAGATTTTTGCAAATTTCCTAAACTTTAAAAACTTCATATGCCGAAATTTGTTATTATTATATTTTTAGCGCAAATTAGACGAATCAAATTACTCTATTACATCTGGCACTTCCGCTACATCCGGAATCTCGGGTTTTACATCTTCAACATCGGCTCATTCAAATAGACCCATAAGAATTGGCTTCAATATAAAGGCTAGATCATTTTTTAAGAGAACAATGTCTAAAAAACATTTAGAGAAACATGCCGCCGATAGTGAAGGCCAACTGAAATGCCATCAGCAACCTAAAGCTCGAAAAATTAATCGTACAGATTATAGTCTAATGGTAATGAACATCAAACAAATTTATTCAGTTTTAGCTATAGCCTTAAATTTGATTGGCGATGATATACAACTTTGTGATTTGGTACGTTTTATAAATGAGGGTCATATTAGTACTGCAAATGTTTTACAATATTTTCCAGAAAATATTGCCAACTACGGTAAAGAGATGTTAAAGAAAATCAATTTTTATAAATGTCCCGATAAATACTCAGACAAGGTAAGTGAAGTTAAAAATTGTTTAGATTTTTTTTTGTAATAAATAACAGTGTGTAAAAATTCTGTAATGTTTTTATTTATTTTTTTTTATTTTCAAGTGTCTAAGAGAACATAGTAGTATAATATGTAAAAATATCGGCATACGCGCTCCTAAGCAACCAGATATAATAAAACTAGTGCGTAGATATATTACAGAATTATGCTTGCCTATTGATATAGGCGATTATATTGAGCGATTAATAAACATACTGCCGCCACAATTTGAGATTCGTACATTAGGATTTTATCCCGGTTATGAAGCCAGAGCTATGGCTTATATTGTTTTCACCTTAAAGCTTTTATTTGGCTTAGATGGCAGCAATGAACATCGTATATCACAGACAACACAGAAGCTCAATTTGAAAATAAATGATTTGAATTGCAAAAAGAGTGAAAATCAACCACAAATTTTTGTATGGACGGAATGGGTTGAATATATTGAAATGCGAAAAATCATTGTCTCACAATTTAACTCAGCTTTTTGTGAACAATTTAAACAGTGTCAAAGCACAAGTCAGTTGATGGAACAAATGGCTGAAGATATACGCAAAACTGAAGATAACAATAATTTACTAAACGACACAACTGATAACAGTCATTCCAAACAAAAAATTAAAAATTTTAGATCTCTGTTCGAACGTTTTCAGGAATCTTACAAAATCGCTGAAAACGACCAGAAGCCGGTACAACTTATTGAGTTTAAACCTACGTTTACGCCAGGTCTATCATATTTAAAACATATTTTTCTATTGTATGACAGAGATACAGATAATATAATGGACTTAGAAATTCCCGATTTTATGCGCATCGATCATGCTCAGCGTAATATTAACTGTTACTTACAAGTAAAACCCCTAATTGCCTACTTTAAGAAACATCATCTGAAACTGAAGGTTCATGCTTTGGCTCCAAATAAGAATAACAATTATGTTGGTGTATTTCGCGCACCTCGCACTATAAATAATTCAAAAATTAAAGTTGAAAAGGCATGTTTTAATATAACCGAAGAGGAATGGATTGAAAATATTAAAGATGATGTTGCTCATGGTACAGATGATTTACTCTTTCTAACTGATATGAGAACCTATCCAAAGTTTTATATCGATCAAATGAAACGCAAAACGAAAAAGATGGATTGTTTTAATCCAACTATGAATTATGATTTAACGATGATACAAGATGATACGGATAATGAAGGTGATAATGAAAATGTAAGTTAAACAGGTAAAAGTCATAAACAATTTTTAAAAAATTTTTTGAAGATTTTTTTGTACGTCGTCAGAAATAGAACAGACTTTTGTATATAAAAATGTATACAATCATTGGATATGGCGAAATTCGACGTACGTAACAAACTTGCCATAGGTTTATTTCTATTTCTTACGCAGACGGAATAATTAGGGAAAACCTCCAATAACAATCAATATTATGTTCGATTATTCAAAATTAAATTCGAAATTATGTTTTATGTTCTTTAAAAATACTTTATTATTATTATTACAATAAATACATCCGTTACTTCGCAATTTTGTCCATTTCTCCATTATTTATGCACCGATTTTACTGATTTCAAATAGCAATCTTTTCGAAAGCATGTCCAATAGAATTATTGAAGATTTATATCCGAAAATAGACGGATACAGCTTAATTGACTTCGGTATCTATAAGGAACCAAAATAAATATACTTTATAGGTGAAAGATATAAAAAGTCTTTTTATTTTACTAGAAAAGTATATTTTCGTAATGTTTTCTTAAGTATTTATTTTTAAGAGTCCACCAAAATGATTTTCCTTTTACTTTCAGATGCCAAAAAAAAGGTTTTCAAAACAAGCATCCAACAATAACGAGGACCTACAATCCATGCATTCCTTTGAATTATTCAGTGAAAATAATATGGATCCCATTGATAATCAAGACTTCATACTTAAACCAAGAAGAAATTTAGAAAATATTGATTTATTTAAAGGTATAAGTGATGAAGAATCAATATTAAATGAAGATGATGATGATGACAATAGTAAGGAATGTGATGGTGATGACAACATAATGGACAGCAATATGCAACATTCAGGATCAGAGGAATTAAAGAAATTTGCAATAGATTCAAGTTCGAAGACACCAATTATCTGTGAGGAGTTTATTAAAGTCGAACCAGTTGAACAGGATTCAGAAGAAAATGACAAAAGGAAAGAAAAAAATATTAAATGTAATGACTTGAAATTTTACATTTCCAAAATGGACTATTGGTTGCTGATTGGTAATATTCAAATGTTGACAAAAGGCCAAAAAACTCAACTACAAGATAAATTTCCTCGTTCCTTTAACTGGCTGCTAGAAACATGTGCCCAAACCATTAATGTTGAATGGTCGGCGGTATATGAACAGTTGTTGTGTATAGAGTTAATGTTTTGTTTAGGCATCAAAGATCCTAATACAATAACAAATTGTGTATATATCAATGGTCATAACCCCATTAAGGAAATTCAAAGCCTTATAAATACATATAGAGAGGTCTGGTAAGAAAAAACTGAGAATAAACCAAAATATAATTTACTTGCCTTCAGCTGGACTTCTACTATATCTTTTCTATTCTATGTCCTTCAACAAAACTTATAATGAATATAGTTGCAATACAGTATGTGTTTGAACTCATTAACTTCATGCACGCACTCATTCAGTCAGTCATTGTCTTGTTGAACTATTTCCATATTCTTATATATTATTAAATGTAGAGTATGTAATCTACAAATGTACAAATTGGAGCCTGTTGCTTTTGTGCACAACCTACACAAAAGACATATGGCTAGTTTCATGCTGTTGAAAATGTGCTACTTATTTTAAACATTGTTTGCTAATGAATTATTTTTAATAAAATCGTTATAAAAACTATTGCTTTCTTTTTTTATCAATTTCAAGTATTTTCTAAAAAGTTTTAAACGTAATTTCAAAATTTGCTTTAAAATTAAAATTTTTTAACTAAAATTGTATTTTAATTTAAAAAAAACACAACTTGTTTTTATGAAATATCCCGGTACTGAATTAATGGTACAATTTAAAACTTTAAGGCGTCCCTATGTCTATATCTACATATATTTGTGTCTTTTTAATTTCTTAACATCAACTATTATAGTTTGCATTATTCTTTTTTTGTTCATTCCCCCATTTTAATATTGGCATTCATTTCAATTCTCCTTGTTTTTGTTTTCTCGTAGAATTTTCTTATTGATTTTATCTTTAGATACATGTGTTTCATACGGTGTTAGTTTTTTTTTTTTTTTGTGTATTTTTCAATAAAATCAATTTTAAAATTATATTTTTATACAAAACATGAATTGCATGTCATGCAGAGCATCGAAAATATTTACTTTTGATTTTTTAAAGGAATTATTATAAAAGTAATGAAAAACAGCAATAAAAGAATGAAGATTTGAAATATGGAATACGATAATGATTTCATCTCGCAAGGTTAACGACTTTGATTGATTTAAATATTTAATTGGGGAAAATGTGTATGGAAATAACAAAATAAACCTACCATTGTTATTTTTAATGGAACATTTGGTTTTTTTACGATCTGCAAAGAAAATTAAATTTTAATTATAGATAAATTTTATTGATAAATTGTTTGTAAATGTAAAATTATCTCCATTTTTACTATTATCAGGTATAAATATGTGATGCAACTAGTGATATCTAAAGTACATTTAAGGAGATTTCCATGAACCTGTCATATATATTAGTTCTATGGAATGAATACTAGTTTCGTAAGAAATTCTTGGAACCAGTTTTTCAAGAATAGTAAATCAATAATGAAATATATTTCATTTAATGAAAATGCTTTAAAACAAAAAAAAAATAGGACCCATTTTTTTGAAAGCAATAAAGAAATAGCTATCTGAACTTCTTTTGAAAATTTTTGCTAAGACCAATAGGTGAAAAGTTACACTAATTTCAATGAAAACCTGTATGACCAAAATGTCCAACTTTGACCCACTCTAAGTTCAGGAGTTCCTGACCGATAGAGCTTTCTGGCCTACTATCCAATAATACTAACATTGGTACAAATTTCATCCAAATCGGAAGACATCGATTTTAAAAGTTGGTTCACTTGACACGAAATTGCCCATATATGTATGTAAGTATATTCTGGACCCTATAGAAAGCAAAGTCGATTAAACTATGTTTCTTCTGTGGAAATAAATTTTTTGAAGACCCTAGATAACTTCGGGATCCAAATCTTCAATAATTCTATCAGACATGCTTTCAAGAATAAATAAAAAATAAACAAGTAAGAAAGTATAGTCGGGCGTGGCCTACCCTGATACCCTACACCAGTTATCAATATTAAATGTGATTTATTTTTCATAATAAAGCATTTATCTTCAATATTCCCTTGTTCCGATACATTTAAGAAATTTATGGATGAAAAACTAATTTTCTGAAAGAGGCTTTATATGGGGGCTAGGAGCAAATATGGACCAAGCCCGATAAAATTTTGTGAATATATTTATATTTACATAATACTTTATTGTGCTGAATTTCATGGCGATATTTGTGTTTATAAGTTAATTTGGGACATTCAAGTAATTATCTGAAGGGGACTTTGTATGGGAGCTAGGGTCAAATGGGGCCCGAACTTTATGAAATTTGGCAGGGTCATCAAGACTTCTATAAAACTTAGTTGTGCCGTATTTTATCGATATATCTGTATATTTAACATAATTATGAGCTCAGAAGCCCTTTTCGGGGGGTTCTGTTCTATGGGGGCAAGGTGAAATAATGGACCGATTTTAACCATTTTCAATAGGCTTCGTCCTTGGGTCAAATATCCAATCCAATTATCTTGAAAATTGCGACCTGTACCTTGCGCACAAGGTTTACATGGACAGCTAGCCAGCCAGACGGACGGACGGACGTAGCTTAATCGACTCAGAAAACGATTCTATTGGTCCGATTGGTATACTTTAAGGTGGGTCTAGGACGAATATTTTTGTATGTTACAAACATCAGCACAAATCCAATATACCCTCCCCACTAAAGTGGTGTAGGGTATAAAAATTAAAAAAAAAAAATAATTTTAATATTTGAAAAACTAAATGTGCTGGTACCAAGAACTATTTTTAGTACTTATTCGTTCTTTATTGAATCTAAAATATAAAATCTAGCATGTAGAGTAATGTAATGAACTAAGGACTCTGAGGCCTTAGTCTGTATGAAAGAATTTTTGGTACTTTTACGTTCCTCAACTGGTACTTTTTGCTTTTTCCGCAATATTGAGCCTAGAAACATATTATCTGACATACATATGGGATCGTGATGGAATGAAAAATCTATGAGAAAATTAAATCTGAAAAATTGTCTACAAAATAAAACGGTTGAATGGGAGCTAGGCGAAATAATGGACCGATTGTAACCATTTTCAATAGGCTACGTCCTTTGGCCAAATTAAAATTGAGACTTTTCTAATCTTCGTTCCGAAAAATTCGCTGTTGCTCCCAATTGTGCACATACTATAACTAAATGTAAGAGCTACATGTCCAGCTATTCTTTCTAATTAACTCGAAAATACCTCCTCATAAATTTCATGTAGATATCTCTAATATTTCACAAGTTAGCAAATTATTCCCAAAAATCCTCTTCTAAAGGTCTGTAGGGTAAACCTTTCCAAAGTCCGAAATCACCCCCCTTAATTTTTCCAACTGGGTCTTTGCATTTTGACTGCTTCTTTTTCTCGGTAGTAAAGTAAGGGTATGTATACAAAAACAAACAAAACACAAAAAGAAAACAACAGCAACAAAAACAACTAGAGAAATATACGCAACACGTATTGTTGTTTTTACTCAAAATTTTTATAATTTAGTTTTCTATAATACGCGAAACGAATAACATCGTGACTAATAGTAACAAATTAAAGAAAAAATATTTAAAAAAATCATAAGACAAAAACATTTATTTGTTATTGCTAAATGTGATGCTCTTAAATGGTAATAAAAAAGTGACAAAATATATTAAAACAATACATTAATTATTTAATAATAAACAAAAAAAAAAAAAAAAAAAGAAATTTAAAGTGCGAATAAATATGCAGTGAGAGGGGTTAAGGGGGGTTGTTGCTTGCAATATATAATTGTATTGTACATATGGTTAATTTGGTCGGTTAGTTTGTTGGGTTCGTTACAACATAATGATGACATAAAATTACAATAACAACAAATATTTAAGAATGCAAACTTAAAGAGAATATGCAAAAACAAGAGGAAGATGTGTCTGTTGTTGTAAATGAAGGACAATTAAAATATTGAGAATACCTAGATATTAAGAAGAAAAAAATTAAAAGTTTTTGGCGGTCAAAGTGTAATAAAAATTTTTTAATAAACAATAAAAAGAAAATTATTTGAAAATAAATATAATTAACACATGTTTTTAAGTTAAAAAAAAATATTACTGTTGTGAAACAACACAAGAAATTATAAATAAATAAATGCATATGTTAACAATTGTTTTCAGTGTCACCTTTTTGGTCTTAATTTAAAAACAATAAACAAATAAAGCTTTTTTTGTAAACAAATTAAAACAAAATAAAAAAATATTTTTTTGGTTGAAATTATTTTTTGTTCAATCCTTTTAAAGAAAATGTGATAAATGAACCGTTAACCCTTCCGACTATTTTTGGGAAAAATAATTACAAACAATTGTTGATCTTTAAAAGAATATCAGTTATGTACCTATTTTGTTCCAAGAGTGTTTTAACTCTTTAGTTAATTAGCTAGTAAGTTAGTTAGGTTGTTAGTTAGTTTTTAGTTAGTTAGTTAGTTAGTTAGTTAGTCAGTTAGTTAGTTAGTTAGTTAGTTAGTTAGTTAGTTAGTTAGTTAGTTAGTTAGTTAGTTAGTTAGTTAGTTAGTTAGTTAGTTAGTTAGTTAGTTAGTTAGTAGTTAGTTAGTTAGTTCGTTAGTTAGTTAGTTTCGTTAGTTCGTTAGTTCGTTAGTTAGTTAGTTAGTTCGTTCGTTAGTTAGTTAGTTTTTCGTTATTAGTTAGTTCGTTAGTAGTTGTTCGTTAGTTCGTTCGTTCGTTCGTTCGTTCGTTCGTTCGTTCGTTCGTTGTTAGTTCGTTCGTTCTTCGTTCGTTCGTTCGTTCGTTCGTTCGTTAGTTCGTTCGTTCGTTCGTTCGTTCGTTTCGTTCGTTCGTTCGTTCGTTCGTTCGTTCGTTCGTTCGTTCGTTCTTCTTTCGTTCGTTCGTTCGTTCGTTCGTTCGTTCGTTCGTTCGTTCGTTCGTTCTTCGTTCGTTTCGTTCGTTTCGTTCGTTCGTTCTTCGTTTCGTTCGTTCGTTCGTTCGTTCGTTCGTTCGTTCGTTCGTTCGTCGTTCGTTCGTTCGTTCGTTCGTTTTCGTTCGTTCGTTCGTTCGTTCGTTTCTTCGTTCGTTTTCGTTCGTTCGTTCGTTTCGTTCGTTCGTTCGTTCGTTCGTTCGTTCGTTCGTTAGTTCGTTCGTTCGTTCGTTCGTTCGTTCGTTCGTTTGTTCGTTCGTTCGTTTCGTTCGTTCGTTCGTTCGTTCGTTCGTTCGTTCGTTCGTTCTTTCGTTCGTTCGTTCGTTCGTTCGTTCTCGTTCGTTTCGTTCGTTCGTTCGTTCGTTCGTTCGTTCGTTCGTTCGTTCTCGTTCGTTCGTTCGTTCGTTCGTTCCTTCGTTCTCCTTGTCTCCCCGGCTCTCCCTTCCCGCCTTCCCTTCGGGTTTTTGTCCTTCCTGCCTTTGTCTTTCCTTCCTTCTTGCCTCTGGTGGGTTGAACTCTCGGTCCCTTGTCTGAATAGAATATAACTTCACAGGCTTCAATTAGGGTTTTTTCTTCTGAACGGATTCGTACTTGAATTTTTTTGTATTTGATTATTACCGCACCGAAACCGCTTCGGATTGATTTTAAGACGGATTACTTATTCTTTTATCTGTGTATTGCTATAAAATATATTAAAATGATTGTACTTATTTCTTTAAAAGTCAGAGGGGTTACGGGATGCATAACATTTACGATTTAATTTTCACATACAAACATATATATATTTTTTTTAATAAACATAGCCAAGCTGCAAAATATTCAATATCAAAAAGACAAATAATGATAATTAATGTACACAAATGATATACGAAGTAAAAAACAACAAAAAATAATATTTAAAACAAACAAATTTACAATATTGCAAAAATACAAATAAAAAAGAAAAAACAACAATTTGTGTCATTTAAAAATTATTAACACTATTTACAATAAAATAAAAACAACAAACTATAAAAACCAAAAAATAATAAATAATAAATTAAATCAAACAACAACAATTTATAACTATTTGGTGTAAATCTTTAATTAATGTTCTTCTCTTCATCTTTATAAATTAGAGGATTTTTATCGTTTTCAATTAATTGTTTAATAAAGTGAGTGAGTATGTCATTGATGTTTTTAAATCTAAGTAAGTAATTAAGATTATTTATGTGTATGCATGTTTTAATGAATTAATTGAGATTTAATGTCAATAATAAAAATAAAAATGTTCTTGAAAGAAATGATCGATTTTAGTTATAAATAAAGGAAATAGATTTAATTCCAAAAGATTTTTTGATAATCAGTTAGTCGTAATTCCGAAGTTTTTTTTTTGTTACTTGCAAAATCAAACTTTGATTTTTGTATTTGAGAAATTAAATATCTTAAACTAGGACTTTTATATACATATGTAAATTTTCCTAAAAGTATTAGACAAGAATTGCAAAACCCAACAACCCATAACCTTTTAGTAAAAGAAATTTAGCACAAGGAAAAGAACAAGAAATTTATTTATTTATTATGCGTTTTTCACAAATATTTTCATGTTAATACTTGTAAAATGTACATTATTAAATAAAGATATGTATTAGGGTAGTCGCTTTTCGAATAGTTGAAATTTTAAGAGTTCGAAAACACATTTCAATATCGATTACATACATACATACATGTTTCTTGTTCGATATAGAATGTCATCTCCTAGAAAAATTTTCTAACTATTTTACTCGATCAGGTATGCGATAATTCGGACCCAGGAGTAAACTGGTTTGAATTTATAGTATCTTAATATGTATATCTTATTTTATAACAAAAAATATTAGTTTAATCGATGTTATAAAATATCTATTTAAGAAAATAACAAAATTAACCAAAAAATTGAATTTTCCACTAATTGAAAAATCTCACCCTAATATCTATGTCTATATCCCATTGCCATCCATATGTATTGGTTTTATTATTGTTTTATTTGCTGTATTTATTATTATTATTATTTTTTTATTATTATTGTTGTTGGTTGTTTTGTATTTGATCTATCTCTATGTTCATATGTGGTTTTTGAGGTTAACAACATGTTGTCGGCATTGCTAAATACTTATTTTGTACTATTTTAATTTATTTTTTTCTTTCTTTATTTATTATTTGTTTTATAAACAACAATATTTTTTTGTGTGTTTTTTTTAACAAAACAAGAAGGAAAATTATTAAAAAATTTTAATTTTGCAGTTGTAGGGAAAATTATACTAAAAAATTTACATACATAGAAGAAATAGTTTTGTGGTGACAATTAAATATTTTTTAATACAACGTCAAACAGTGGGAAAGAAAAAAGATGATGGAAATAAATCTTAAACTTTTAAACATAAAGATGGAAATAAATCTACAACTTTGTGAATATAGTTCTTCTTGAATAGCATCTATGGAATTAGTGATGTCGCCATTACTTCTAGAATTTGTTCTATGGAACATTGTTGACACTCTAAAGTATTTTTAAGGAGTTTTCAATGAACCAATCCTTTGACACTATTTATAAATTGGTACATATATGAGTTCCGCAACTACTTTTTAGAACTAAGAACTAGTGAAGAAGAACTAGTTCTGGAGCGATTACAAACAGAATTACTTCAGATTCTTTATAGCATTCATGGAACTAGTGATGTCACCATTAGTGGAACATTGTTGAGATTCTACTTTTAAGGAGTTTTCAAGGAACCAGTTCTTTGACACTATGTACCGCATAGAATTATTGGTTTTACATCCACTTTAAGGTCGGCTGATGGGGTCAGAATTATTAGCGATGTAATCCTTCTTATCAAACTACAGATCGCAATTTTCATTGGCCCAGACACAAAGCCTATTGAAAATGGTTAAAAGCTCCCATAGAAGCGTATCCCCCGAATAGGGCTTCTTTGGAGATAATATAACGTTAATGATGTTAAATCGTGTAGTATATCTATCTATCAGACTCGGTACAACTTAGTTTAATATAAGCCTAAATGCATCTATTGATTTTTATAATGATCGATCCTCATTTGACCCTATCCCCCATACAAATTTCCCCTCTGAAATTGACTTGAACGTCCATAATAACTTATTAACATTAATATCATAAAGCTTTGATATAGACATATAGAGGATCGATACATACATATTTAAACCCAAATGTCGGGAATATTGAAAAAGAACTGATTCCAGAACCGTACAACAAGTGTCGACAATGTAGCGCTTCCATAAATTCATTTCCGAAATGTTTAACTTTTAAATTTCTTCTATTGGTGTAATATTTTACAAATTATTACAACACTTCTAAATAAATATTAGATTAAAATACTGTAAAAAAATACTCTCCAAAACAGTAATCTTTTTACTTACAATATACATATTTACGTTACAATAAAAGTGAAAAAAATCATTATGATAAACTACAAATTATTGTCGAGATCCAAAAAAGTGAAATGCGGTGATAATGCCAATGTAAATAAGTGCCTTACACTCGTACGTACAATAAAGAGATAATGCTGTTGATGATGATGGATAATGGTATTAAGTAGACACCTGATAATATTTTTGATCTACAAAAGGTGTAGGTGTTCCAACACAAAAAAATAATATATAAATCATTTAATTTTTTATCTTATAAACAAGTATGAAATCAAATATGTACAATAAAGTATATTTTATGAAATTTATAACAATAATATCGTTCCTATATGAAACAAATTAGCTGACAATAATTACTATAGGTTAATAATAACAATAATTACAAAAAAAAAAAAGATTGATAATAAAAATAGCGTTAGATAACAACTATTTAGAAATAGATAATGAACACTAATACTCATACGTTATTTTTTATTTTAAATAATTGTTTAAAAGTTGCAAAGTGTTTTTATTAATGGACTTTAAAACGTTTTTTTTATAGACTCAATGAGCTATTACAAATTATGTACGCTTAAATACTATAGTCACAAAAGTTTATGAAGATCAAGTGATTATATAGTATTTATTTCAAATATGCGGTAATATTTGATTATAATTATAGTTTAAAATGTATATATACCCTCCATCAAAAAATATAAGGGTATATAGATTCTGTCATTTCGTTTGTAATACATCGAAATATTGGTTGTAGGCCCAATAAAGTATATATGTGCTAATTATGTTCTAAGATGATCTAGCTATGTCCGTCCATCTGTCTGTCTGCGGATAGCAAAAAGAATTAGAATTTTCCATAAATATTCGGAAAATGTTGGCCCAACTGCCATGAAATATATACAAGATATGAGGCGGCACTTACAACCCAACGGCTCTTAACTTTTGGCGAGCTGACCAAATGCAGTTATAGGACACGTCATTAATGTGTATTGACACATTGGAAGACTATACACAAACATCCGATCGCATATACAGAATATGTCGGAAACTTTGAATCACTGATCCCAAATAGAATGTCATGGTCCAGCGGAACCTTAGAACAAATACCCTGGGGGACAAAATGGGCCTAGGGTTCTATATTGAAGGCCTAGAAACAGAAATCCAACTAATAACGGAATGCGTAAATTAGATTAGAATAATAACAGGCGTTAACATATTTACCGACAGCCAGGATGCAATTAGGGCGAATCTAAGACCGAATTGGATTATAAGAAATCCTTAATCGAATACTCTCATAAAGGTAAGTTTTGTTACCAGGCCACTCGGTAATAGTATGCAACGAAAAGAGCGAATATACTTTCTTTAAAGGGAAAGATGCTCGAGGTAAATAGTTAACGACAGCAAAACCATTCGTCCCAAAAGTTCTTAGGAATTACGTCCAGGTGAGATGGGACTATAATACGTTGAAAGATCCGAGACCCGATAGTGGCCTAAGTGTATTTCTTCGAATTTTATGTAATATACTTCATCCTATCAATGTATAAAGCCCTGAGTCCACATATAGTATCGGCTTCTAAAATTAACTTTAAACTAACGGCACATGTATTGATGTTGCGCATTTAAAATTCGATATAGCCGAATATAAAACACTTGATTGTTCAAATATTCAATGTTTACTATTTAATCTTTTTTTCAAAATAATGCACAATATACGTTGTATTGAAGCCATCAGTGAGTGGGTATATTGATTTAAAATTGGAATACAAAGAAAGAAAAGTTTATCATATATGTAAATATTACCAAATTAAACTTTTATGGTTTTAGATATAAAAAGTCTTTCGAAAACAGTAAATATTATTAAGGTTTTTTATTGCAACTGGAATTACGTCTAAAACTATATGCTTGCGCAGAAATAATAAAACTTTATTGTATCACTTCTGAGAAACATTAAAATGATGCAAACTTTGTCATAGGATAAGGTGATTTCTATTTAATCTGAAACAATTTAAATTACTTTTACTTACTTAAGAATTTAATACCCACCATCAACAAAATATTCTTTGCGTCATCTGGATATATATATTGACGGGTAACACATCAAAATATAGGTTTAAATCCAAAATATTCTGAATCCTTTGTAAAATTTACATTTCATAAACATATGTATTATATATCATCTCAAAAGGTCCGTTAATTCCTATAAGTATATACATACTACATATGGTAATATGGACATAAGTTTTATTCAAAAGCTTTTAGCTTCAATATAAAGTCTTCTTCCTGACTTAAACTTTCAAAACTGGCTTAGGTATAAACTTCCCACTTGTTTTTTAATTTTAAAATTATCTATCCATTTATCTATCTATCTATCTATCTATCTATCTATCTATCTATCTATCTATCTATCTATCTATCTATCTATCTATCTATCTATCTATCTATCTATCTATCTATCTATCTATCTATCTATCTATCTATCTATTATCTATCTATCTATCTATCTATCTATCTATCTATCTATCTATCTATCTATCTATCTATCTATCTATCTATCTATCTATCTATCTATCTATCTATCTATCTATCTATCTATCTATCTATCTATCTATCTATCTATCTATCTATCTATCTATCTATCTATCTATCTATCTATCTATCTATCTATCTATCTATCTATCTATCTATCTATCTATCTATCTATCTATCTATCTATCTATCTATCTATCTATCTATCTATCTATCT